TGTTATAGTCATTCCCTGTAAAATATTGGAAAAGAAAACGTAATTGGATCAATGATGGCCAACGACAGATGGGGCTGGTCAACCGATGAAATTAGATAAAATTAGGGTTGAATGTAAACGAGGTGTATTTAAAGAGGGATTATTTTAAAGATCCCTAATTTCGAAAATATCCATAACTAACTACCATGTTGTTTACATTCTAGTGCAAACTCCTTCTATTTGGATAATAATTTGATATACCCCTTAGCGCACCCTGAAGTACCCAAAATACCATTTTAAATCAGTTTTAAACCCTAGCCCAATCTATATCGGTCTTTAACTTCCTCTCTCAATTCACAGATCCAAATCCCGCCCCCCCAGGTCTCTAACCGGCGATATTTCTTCCCGGCATAACTCTCTCTCCGATGGTCGGAATTCGATGGTTCAACTATCGTTGGATTCCACTCGTCGAGCTCTTACTTTCGGAGGGTATTCATTCAGTTGGGAGTGCTGGATCTGTTTCTGCAATTTTTTCTTAGTCGGCGTATTTCGACGACGGTGGTCTTACCACATATGTAATTTATTTTTCGCCAATCGGAATTTGACGGGCTACCCACCGTTAGATTCCTTTCGTCGGGATCTATATTTTGATGTCAATTTCATTCATTTTTATATTTTCAAACTTATTTCTATATTTTTTATATTTTATTTTATTTTTATATTTTCAGATTTATTTCTCTCGATCTCTTATTGTTTGTTGTTTTTTGAGGATGTTTCTTTATTTTTTGTTGATTTGCACTAAAATATTTTTTTGTTTTAATTTTGCAATTGCAGCTTAATAAATGCCATTGATCCTTTCCTTGAATGTGACAAAATTTTTATCGAAGTTACATCTGCTTTGTTCAACAGACTGCATACATTTTTTTTTTTGAGTAAACAGACTGCATACATTACTGTACATTACTATCCATTACTATCCATTACTATAGTAACATGTAGTGATATATGCATATATTTGTGTATTTTCGATTCGTATTTTATTTGTTCTGAGGTGATTTATAATATAAAGGGTTAAATACAAAAACACCCTTGTACTATGGACTTTGTATCATTTACCCCCCTGTACTACACATAAATACAAAACCCCCCTCACATTGCATTTTTTCCCAAAATATGACGAAAATACCCCTACTCAAGCATATATATATATTTTATATATATATATATATATATATATATATATATATATATATATATTTTTTTTTTTTTTTTCTGTGAGCCATTATCCACCATATATTTTACCATTTTCAGTCAATTTTACGTTGAAAATTTTGGTATTTATTTTTTTTCTCCAAAACATCTAATTGCTTACATTTTTTTTTCTAAATAAAACCTTTTATTTTTGTCATTTTGAGTTTCTTCATTTTTTTTCTTAAATGTCTTCCGGTAGTTCAAACATCCTAAGATTACAAACATCTTTACTATCCTATTATTGTTGATAATTTGAACTACCGGAAGACATTTTAGATAAATAAGAAGAAATTCAAAATGAAAAAAATAAAAGGTTTTTATTCAGAAAATTAAAAAAAAGATCTAAGTAATTAAATGTTTGAAGGAAAAAATAAAAAAAATAAAAATT